AAAATAAACGCTCAACCATCACCTAAGACAACTTTATAGATTTCTATAGTATTTCTATTCTACTCTGCGTCCTGTTATACATTTTCCTATATTTGAGTGAGCTTATGTCCAAGCCCAACAAATACATTACTTTCTTGCAGGAATTCAATCAACAGTGTCCTGCTCAGTGGGTATTGTTGCAAATTAAACACCAAAATCTTGCCAAATTAGCGGTTTGGGTTTTTAGGAGTCTTTCTCCCAAAGCCGTCTCTGGAGAGAGGAAGGTGTTGGCAGAGGAAGCAGCTTCATTTTCATCCGTCTGAATCAGAGAGAGGCAGAGCCAGCCAGGAGAGACCCAAGGGGTCATTATGCATCCCTGTTGTATTTTATTTATTTACCCTTTATGGGCGCTGACTTATAGGAGCCCGCCATTCCCTTAAATGTTTGATTGATTCACTGTTTCTGAAAAAGGAGAAGAAGAAAAAATTACTAAGATAAAGCAGAATATATTGGAACTCCCCCATCCAGAAAATAAGCTCCATTAGGGCTCTCTGTCTTTTTCTTCCTGCTACATTCCTCAGTGTCCTTCTCTCATCTCTCATCTGCCTCGTCACGGCCTGACGACTTAAAAATACAGCCACAGAGAAATGGCAAACAAAACACCACAGCTTCTCACCTTTTCTCAATATTTTCTATTGTGAAAGAGGGAGAAAAAAAAAGCCAGAAAGAAAATAAAAGGGTGGATCTGTAAATGACTTTTGACTGAAAGCTGTTTGGTATAGTTGCCTCCAAGAATACTGATGAAGCAAATTTACTTGAACAAACAGTAGCTAGATAGATGTGGCTGGCGTGTTAAAGGTGGACTGTAATGTTATTCTGCATTTCCTTTTTTTTTTTTTTTTCCCAACCTGATTTTGGAAAATAATTATGTCTGGTACAGAAACAGGATATTAAACTGCTGTAGAAATAGTGTAGAGGCATAGAGCATCTCCAAAAAGATTAACAAGAAAAGGACTGCTTGTAATCTTAAAGTGGTACTCCAAAAAACATTTAAGACTACTTTGTGATACTGTGGATAACTTCACATGTATTAACAGGCATAAATAAATAAATGAATAAATAAATAAATAAATAAATGTGACGATGGGGGAAGGGGGTGGGGGGGAGCAGCAATTACGAGTTTAAAATGTCAAGATTACAATTATTTTCATCAGGTTGTAAAGTTTGACTCAGCCTGATTAAAATCTATCCTTTTTTACGAGTTTGTACAAAGTAGATTTCTACATCTGCTCACCAACGTATAGGCCACAGCCTTGCACGTTTAATATTCACCATACCTTCATTACCATTACAATACGTGATTATGAAATTCAGCTCATTATCATCACAATTACCTGGAATAGATTTTTTTCTTTACATATATGTTACTCGCTGCAGACAATTTCCCCCCTAAATCTATAATCGGGAGCTCATTCACGTGAATTACGCAAAAAGGCATAAAACCTTATAATATATATATATATATATTTTTAAAACTCCGAAACATTAAGAGCAACCTTTTTAGTAAAAAAAAAATGTCTGAACATGGCTGAATGTTTAAGGGAAACTTTTATTTGGCGCAGAGACACAAACAAGGTGCAGCATATTCCCTGCTGAGCTGAACTTTGGGCCTTTTTACGCACAAGCAGCAGCAGCAGCACACACACTGAAGGGAGAGAGGCGCACATCCAGAGTCGCGCAACAACATTTCCACGCGTCACACTCGATTCCCCACGACCTCTTTCTCTCCCTACCTTTGACATTTTTTAAGGTGTAATCGTTTTAAACCGTCTCCGCGCTCTGACATATATAACTTTAGCTCCGCTGGTTCACCGTCAGCCCTGCGGATCATTGGCTTCTGGTGAAATGGCGCGGAAGAGGAAACATGATTCGTTCTAGCTCTGAGGTGCGTGTGTGTAGTTTTTTTTTTTTATCTCTTTTCTTTTTTTTCTTTTTAATCCGGCGGGATAACACACCGTGGGAAGTCCTATATATCAGTCACACATTCTATACAAAAATAACCTGCAGCAGCAGAGCACAGAGGAACAACCACACGTAAAATGCGAAAGGTGTGGAGGATGCGCTCATGCAGTTTTGAGAGTACTAACAAAAGACAGGAAGGGAAATTCAATGTCAGAATAAAAATAAATAAATAAACATTTGACATTAAAAAATTAACACAAAAATGAAACTAAACTGTGCATTTATTCGTATTGGCGTGAAAAAATAAGGATTAATTTGTGTTCCCTTATTATGAGTGAAGATATATAAAATACTACAATTGTTTGTTTTTTTATTCAGTTATCCGATAAGACAATATCATAAAAATGCCCACTATTTTGAGGATAAACACAAACAAAAAGGATGAGATAAAGCCATTCTCTCCTGCGCAGCTCTGATGAAACAGTGTTAAAAATGAACTGGCCTCACAATACGCAAATATGTTATTTTGGCAAGTTTACATCCACGTTTATCAGTAGAAATTATTGTACAGGTAAAAGTATAAAATAGTTTAATTCAGACAAATTGCAAAGACTTTCATTTGATTTGTCATCCATGTAAAAAAAAAAAAAACACACAATTGGTTTGTCATTAAGGGATTAAATATTCGTAATTATTTTAAAATCTGCTCTAAGTTGTATGTAAATCTTTCCCTGTAGCTAACATTCATTGGCCACTTGTCTCAGGTATAAGATGCTTGGCTTGCTAGCAAGTCTGACATTAGCATTAGCACTGTCGCTAAGTAGTTTAGTGGCAGATACAATTTTAAACTTTGAAACTTTCTTAGTCATAAGTGTTATGGTAGTACTTAATTTTCACTTTATTAATTAATAATACACATATTAGCCATATTGCTCTCTGCTGGTCACGCACATAACCAATGAGAGTATGCTGACGGAACTATACCGTTTCTTTCTAATCAGATGTTTTAGTACAATTTTTGTTTTACAAATATTCAACACATTATATTTAGAAATTAATATGCTTAAATAGAAATTTAACAACTTCTAAGGCTAATATTAACCAACCACCAAAATTTGTTTTTACAGTGCAGCACGGACAGAAAATTGCATCTTGAGGATGTGACAAAAAGGGAAGAAAAGAACAAAAATGCATTTAAACCTATTTGAACCTGAAAGTGATCTCTGAAATTTTGAAAAATAGTATCTCTAAGTTTGCCTTTAAAAATAAAAGTTCTACAAATAAAAGTGAATGTTGTAAGGCTAACTAATTCAAAGACCTTTGGGGGGGTGAAAACAGTGAGCCTAACACACAAAGCAGTGTCCGCCATGTCATCACTGAATGCCTAAGTTGCGACCCCCCTACACGAGGTTCCCCCTGCGTGCAGCAGCTGTTTCCCTCAAGTCTTCTGGAGCCAGACTGTGACCTGTGAGCAGAAGCTGCACGTGCCTTAACCTGTGGCTCTCACTGCAGTATAAAAAGGACTTTTGGAAAGAATTAAACGTTAGCCATTAGGAATATTTACATTCAAATCAAGCACATTAGTTTGTGAATGTAATGTAAATAAATTATTTATTGATAAATAATGTTATTTCACTATGAGTTAAAGATATTGGTATTCAAAGTCCAGCAGAAAAAGTAGGGCTAAAACGCTTCTATGGGTACAAATGCATTCACTCAGTAAAAGTTAATGCATACGGGTTGGAATTGAAAAAGCCTATAAAATTTAAGCAAAGTTAACTTTGGCAACATTGGTGCTGAAGTCAAAACTGCTGTAACAAGAGGAGCTTCTTAATAACCCCAAGGGAATCATCGCCGCGAAACGGCACATCTAAGCTGAGGTTGCAAAGTTAAAATGTTCACATTCCAACTTTTTAAGAACAAACCTAAAAAGATGATCATAATTTCTGTAATGTAATATGTCATAATTATGAGCCTATTTTTCTTGTGCTTGCATTGTAGATATTTGTCAGTTTGAGATTGACACCTTGAGTTGGAGTGGTAAATTTAAAGAAAGGTTGAGAGTTTCACAAATTTCTTTAAGCAGATTTTAATTGTTAAACGTGTATAGTTTTTACTCATAAATTCTGATTATAGTCTGCCTAAATTAAACAAATGCAAATTGTTACACCGCTTCCCCTGGTGAAATTGAAACAGAGTGTTTCATCAGAACCTAACCAGAGCTCTACTCTTCTGGTACTGTTTGTGGATCAAGTTCAGCTTTTAGTCATGCTTTGATACTCTCTCTCTCTCTCTCTCTCTCTCTCTCTCTCTCTCTCTCTCTCTCTCTCTCTCTCTTTCTCGCTCTCTCTCTCTCTCTCTCTCAACCTCCCTCATCCTCTCTCTCATTCTCTCTCACCGTGTCCTCCCTCACCCCTCTTTCACTCCCTCCCCTTTTGACCTCTGCACCTCCTCTTCTCTTCGAACCATAGAAACACAACAAACCGTCTCCTACAAAGCAGAAACGGCGGCGAAAACAACACAAAGCGGCCCTGCAGAGACCGCACTTCATCTCTCTATTCACAGCATCACCAAACTCACGCCAAATGATTCTCATGCATCGTATTCGCAGAGCGCAGAACAGAGAACACATCATACTTTAAACAATGCAGCACAGGGGAGTGTGACTGATTAATAAAACACCAAGAGCAGGACCGGAAAGAGTATTCAACAAACTGTTTGTTTTTTATTATTATTTAAATGATTTGGAGTTGCCCATATGCAAAACATTGGATGCCTTCTAAAATAAAAGAGGTCGTTCAGTGGTTAAGACGTTTTGCGAAATTTGGACATTTGGACTTGAGCGGTAAATTGTCTGGTTTCAGACAGCTACATCTACATCTTCAGTAAGCAATAAATCACGAAGCAATTGCATTTCGGTTATATTTGCAACTTCGGTTAAAACGAAACAAAAAAAGTGTAGTTTTTCTGTGGACGCATGCAGAGCTGGTGGCGTGTGTGGTTTTTGAGGGCCAGATGGGGTCATGCAGATGAAGGGAATGATAACCAAAAGAACTTACTGTGCATCGCCGCGAACGGGTCGTGCTTACAATGAATCTCCATCGGTGCAGAGAGGGGGGCTCCAGGGCCCTTTAAGCAACGAGAGGATCTTAAAAACAACACCCGCTTCGGTCTTCCACTTTGCGGGTTATGATGACAGATGGGACCTCCAATGACTAAAAAGGTTTTCCTACAAAATGATTGTTTTTTTGGTTTAAAAAAAAGACTGTGTTTAAAGGTAAAAACAACACATTTGATCGAAAAGTTAAAATGAGGTGTTCAAACATGAAAAAACTTAAAAAATAATTTAAAAAAATAGAAGTAAGAAACAACTGGAATCACAGCAGCGGATTAGTTGCGGTGTCTCCTGAACCAGAGGAGCTTCTGTCTTCCTTTCTTCTCCTGTGGGTCAAGTTGCGCCAGTCCCAGGTCGGCAAAAATATGTCAAAGTTTTTATTAATTATTAATCCAAAACACGAAAAATAAACAAAATACGTAAAGCAAGGAATGTATGACTATTTTGCTCTTTTTTTTTCTTGTCGGTCTGCTGACCGTGAACACCACCCCCACCCCCCGTACTTTCACCGATGGAGGCACAACTCTCCTGTCAGTCTTTTATAAAATAATCAATCAATAAATAAAAATTAAAAATTAGGCGCGAAAGGTAGAACAATTCTTTACAGATCCAGTGTTTCCAGGATGTCCTATGCGCATTTCTTCTTCTTTTATTTTATTTTTTTTTTTTAGAAATAGTCCTCGGCAGCCGTTCTCACGTGAAGATCCCCCTTCAGTTCAGCGTCTGAGTGCGGACAAGCGGTCACATCATGCGGTGTCATATCCAACAAAAAAAATGTCACATGCCAAAAAAATTCAGAATAAAATGTAAAAAAAAAAAATAATAAAATAATAATAATAATAATAAATATGCAAATTTAGTCAAAAACAAAAAGAAAAAAAAAGCACTTTGTGGTTCAAGTAAAAAGCCTTAGACTTCAGATGTATCTTCTTCCTGTCACCTCCTGAGTGGACCGGGACGCGCTGCACAAACCGGCTCCCGGTGACTGAGTGAGTTTTAAAGGCGAACCTCTTCAAGTCAAATCGGAATTCAAAAGATGTTTTACTCCGCGCTCCTGTTTAGGAGACAAAAAAAAAAAACACCGTACTGCACATAAGCGAGCTTTGTTGTTAATCTCAAAATGACCAGCCTGCCTGCGCGCAGCATCCGGCGGCGGCGCACGGCGCGTTTCAGGACCTGCTCTCTTGCGGACAGCGCCCGCGCTCCCAGCCCCCTGGAACCCTAACCTGCGCACTGCCCGTCACTCACAACGAAACCAGCCAATGACGTTTCGAGCGCTGTCTTGACGTCAACACCAACCCCGGTTCAGCTCGCTGTGGACAGCGAGGGGGTTGGGGCTCAGTGATTGGCTAAAGCGAATCCCGTGCGCCAATGGCACCCCGCATGCTTTCTCCTTTGACCAATCATGAAGTCGCTCGGTGAGGCAACGCAGTAAATGATATTTTTTAATTTCAATTAACGAATTATATAAAAACGCATCGTCTTTATAGCTATTAGCTTTTGAGTTTGTTGGGTGTATTGTGTAACTGCTAATTAAGTGAGTATTAAAACTGAGGCGCTTTAATGAAGGCATGACGTGTTGGATGAAGGAATAAAAACAAAGTGAATCGAATGAAGACTTGTATTTTAAAATGATATATGTATATTTAACAAAATTTAGTATGCAAAAATCATTTTTGTCATATTTAGGCCTACGGGGGTGAGGACGACCAAGAGCGAACAATTACTCCTGAATAATTCCTCTTTCTTATTTTCTTTCGTCATCCCCCTCCACCTCAAGGGGTGGGATCTAATGAAAAACATATGAAACACGCATCCTGTCTCATTAACTAATTGATCCAGACGTATGTATGCTTTTAATGAAGAGCAAACACACACTCCAAACTGTCAGGTTCCATGTTCGTCCCAGAAGATTCGCAGAGGCCTACACAAAGCATCTGTGATGTCAAAATACACAAATAGCCTAAAGCAGGAGAGTTTATTCCTTTCCTCTTTAATCATTTCGGCTGCATTTCGGAGCAGGTAGGGTGTATTTCAGAGGAGCCCATGACACGTAATTACGCATTTTCCCACCCTGTTCATGAAGGTATGAATAAACTAATCTTACTTATTTTATCATAATAAAGTCTGTGGCATTTTAAGAAATCCAAATAAGAGAATGCAGCTTATTTAAATAATTTTTTGGGAGTTTATTCTCCAACTGATCCGATGTCCATATGGGTAGTTTATAGCACTAGACTTTATTAGAGTCTAATATTTACACATTCTGTTGCACATAATTAAAATGTTTCTTTGAATTCCCAGACTTCTATGAAAGAACCGATCTGAGACAACTAATTCTTTCACAAAAACGAACAAATCATCACATACTTATGTGCTCATCATGGGAAATGCTGAAGAAATAATAATAATAATAATAATAATAATAATAATAATAATAACTCTTTAAAAATCGCTTTCTAACCTCGCTGCTAAGCTGGAAGCTTTGCATTTTTTGTGAGGTTAAAAATGTTTCTTGAAGAAGAATGCAAGTGTCAGCCACGAGGGGGCGTTCAGCCTTGGACAAAAAGGCCTACGTGCACACAGGCGCGCACACACGCAGTCATTTTTTTTTTTTTTTTACGTCTTACAAATAATTAAAATGAAAAAAATTACATGTAATATTACTTTAAAGTCCTTCAGTGTGTCCAGTCGGAGGCTAGACTAAGACAGAGGACTGAAAACATAAATAGCAATCACAATAAACTTCATCCTGCAGCACCGCTACTTTTTGATTGGGATCTTGAAGTGGAAATATGAATTTTGAATCCTCATTGATTTCTACGTCTCTGCTGAGTAAATATTTCCAACATTTTTTTAACGGATTCTCCTTCATATTTTAAATTCTTTACTTCATTTCTCTGAGGATCAATCAGTGGACTGGGTTCCCTGCAAACCTGACAGACATCAAACCAGCTGCTATATACATATTTTGCTTAACATACAAGACAAAATCAATCGAGATGCATAAGCCTCACTATTTAGATGGAGTGCCTTCTCGGAGGCCTCTGGTGTACTAAAGCAGGAAGAAAAATGGCAGAGGTATGAGAAATGTACAAAACCTCTAGGATTACTCACAATAGACAAGAGTTTTCTTTCTTTCTTTGCATTGATTCCCTTTTTATTCTCTCATAAGTGATCAAAAGCAAAGCCAACTGCACTGTTGGAGCAGAAAATTTTAAAAGCACAACGTGCCGTTTCCATCTTTCATTTTAGCCTCTGTTTATTTTATTTGCAGAAATTTACGCACCCGTTCCCCACACGTGTATAAACGGCAGCAATCGCTGCTGTCTCTCCAAATTGCAAATTAAATATACAAGCAATTAAAAAAAAAAAACATCCAAACACAATCAATCATGTATACAAATTGTTGTTGCTTTAGGGTTGTAAATTTGGAGAAAAACTTCCATCAGGGTAGGACGGTTTTAATCCAAAGCCATTACCATATTTCATTACCTCTGCAGAGCTACAGACGGGAGTTCGGATGGATAGAGGGGGGTTGCAGCTGTTTTGGATACTTTCTTTAGACATTAGTAAGAATGTTGACTTGTGATAATCAGGTGGATGCAAATTGAAGGCAATTGTTGTTGTTGCTAAAATGCCGCCCCCTCCTCTTCCTTCTCCCCCCGATCCCCTCCTTCTTCTTCTTCCATCCACCATGAAAGCATTTTGCTTTTTTACTTCCATCGCAGCCACGAAAGGGAAAAAAAGCAATGAAAAATTAATAGCGCATGTTAACTCCGCCAGCTCGTTTATTACACGCCTGCTGACTGTAAACATAATGAGAAAAGCTTCCGTATCTCTCCTTAGGTTTTCTCTAGCTTATGAAATATATAAAAGTCCTCACTAATAAATAATAATCATAATAATAATAAACACTGTATATGGACTGGAGAGTAAGGCACCATACAGGTGAAACACCCACTGCTCCAGCAATGTGCCCCATCATACACACACGTTTGAAAATATTAATAACAGTCTTGGCATTCCATCTGCCAGAAAACGTGTCTATGAGACGTCCTGTGACGCGCGTAAAGTCAAAACTGAAGCCAGAAATCCAACATGAGATCATCCTCGCAGAGCATTTTCGCGCAAACAGGGCCGACTCAAGGAAGTAGCAAACCTTGCAACTGCCTATGGGTTCAAACTTTCCCAAGAGCGATTAAATGCACACAGGCCACGTTTACACCAGTTGTACATAATTATGAGCCACACTACCACACCTCAAGGAACTTTACAAGACAAACAGCTCCAATTCCTATCTATTAAAATTCAGTTCATATACCACTACCAATATAATATACCTTTCTCTCTATTTCTCGCCCTAAAATAATTTCAGGACAAAAAAAATTATATCACAATTTGGGAGAGTTGCTGTAATTTACTAACTTTTGCAGGATCTTGAAAGTTTCATTTCTGACATAACCATTTGTACAAAACACTGACTTATTTTAAATTCTGAAGAGAAACATGACCAAACTTGAAAATCTGTCTTTGCTTTTACTTTTGCTTCCCTTCAAAGACTGTTTGTGGTGCCCATCTGGCCGCCCTTTACTAAACCGGAAACGGCCCTGTGATCGAGCATTTTTACCAAAACAGACGCGAATGAACTCTCTTTTCTGTCAGGAATGTAACTTAAGTATAACGGACTCCAGAGTGACTGAATCAGCATCCATATAATGTTGAAAATGTAATCTATCTGAGCGGCCCCACCCTTCTGGACGGTGGGATGGGGTCCGACAGGCTACACTCTCAGTCTTATTGATCCTCCTTTGTAACCCAAGCACGTATCAAAGTGAGAGGTGAATCGAGAGGCTTTAGGTAAAGGCCCTGGGCCCTCAACACTCTACACATCAACAGAGGAGGGCCGCTATTAAATTCTGATTTCCTCAGTGGCTAAAAAGGTTATTAACCAATTGCCACAAATCCCTCCGCTTTCAGCGTTTATCAGCGGTTAGTGCCCGGTTAGGGCACAATTGGGGGCATTTTTCTATTAAAGGCCGAAAATTATTTATTTCTGGAAGACAAGGGATCTCACTCTCACGTCAGAGATGTACGTAACATAATAATCTGCCTCTGTCTTAAACGTGTATCATGCATGGCTCACTTTAACCAGTATTAAGCAAACATGAACGCATCATT